AAAATACGGCGATAATTTAAATTCCTGGCATTTGTTTTTGTTTTGTAGAGGGTAGGGTCGTTACACAACAGCTAAGATTATTACGTTGAAAACAGTTTCTGCAGTGATTCCTGGTAACAGTGCCTCCTTTCCTTTTACTCCTTTTCTTCCCTTTTTTGCTGCAGTGATTGACCTTTTACTGGGATTGCTTTCAGTACAAAAAATTCTGAGAAAGCATCATCGAGACCAGCAACTTTTGTTTCTAGTGCAAAAGCACTAGACAATGTAAAAGTGATAAAAAAAGATAGGTAACTACTTCATGTACGGCAAAATATGACGTCTTGCTCTAATAGTTTCAACGAATTCTCCTTTCGTGACAAGTTACATGAAGAAGAAGACCCCAAATAAGAATGCGTAACCAAATCGATATGTCGCCGTTACTCGTCAGTCTACTCGAGCGGTCACCCGAACAGTCAAAGCAAATATTTGGACCAATCCTCTTGGCGTCACAAAATCTTCGTATTACGACAATTAGCATCATTTGAAATTGTCTGAGCAGTGTGGTTTTGAAGTGTTCGAGAAGAAAGGGTTAAATATTTTTGCTTTAGGCGGTTTGTTAGCGTCACTAAATCCGAGATAAGCGTCACTACGAAAATTACCGTCCCTTCAAGACACATTGGTTTTGTGTCGAAGTATTCACGAAGAGAGAGGTCAAGACATATTTTGCTTTCACGCTGTTTCACAGAAGGAGTCGGGAAGAGAGTATTGTGGTGAGTAAACCAGTGCTTTCTATCTTTTATTAACCTTTATTATGTTTCTCTTAAGAAATACTTTTTCACTAAGCCACGGCTTTCGGATTACTCGTCAACGTGGAGGACTGTAATACTTTAAAAGATACTTTCCTGTTTTAGATCGATCTCGGGCCCCATCGAGGACAAACTGGATGTCCATATTTACTCTCCAAGCCTTAAGCTGGACAAGTAACATTACAATTATTGATCCTTAATTCATATGGTTGTCGCGTCAAAAATGTGGTTGGAGAGTTTAATGCATGCTGATTTCATAGCCAATTATAGTTACTTTCAGTAACTTTTAACTTCAGTAGCAGTTCCTCAAATGTTAAATATATTCACCTTCTTTCAAATCATTTAATTTAGTTTTCCCAGTTTCTTTGTATTGTTTTATGTTGTGTCGAGGTGTATTGTTCTCCAAGGGATAAAGTATTTCAGTTGACTTATAGGTGGTTGTGGGTAATTAAATCGACATTCGTCGTTTGATTTCTTTTTACAGGTATGAGAGTGCCTGTAAATCTGCCTGTTAACCAGCTTTTACAGTTCCGGGCATTAACCGGCAATTGACAACAATTACTGTTATCAATAAAGTCTTCGAAAATCGCATCATCATCATTTTATTAGGAAATAAAAGTACTGGTGTATTTTTTAGCCAGATAAGCATGCGAATGTGAGATGAACCTCATTGCTGGTATTCCACTCTATAGAACCAGTCAGAAATGTTTCCTAATGCTAGTGCTTTGCCACTTTTTCTGACATACCTGTTTCCATATGTATAATATATGTTAGTTCATTTTGGGACATATTCATGCTATGTTACCCAGGAAAAATTAGTGGGGCGAGGGAAAATATCGACGAAATAAAAAAGAAACGAAGTATGAAAACACCTGATACTCCACTCTGCATGAAAAAACTATCCTGACATACCTGTTTCCATTTGTATATATGTTAGTTCATTTTGAGACATATTCGTGTTATGGCACCAAGGAAAAAAATAGTGGGAACGAGGGAAAATAACGACAAAATAAAAAAGCAACAAAATATAAAAGTGGCAGAAAGAAACACCTGATACTCAAATTTGCATAAACAATTATCAATGACCTTGAGTTGTTATTGATAAAACCATTTCTTACGCCTGCATGGGGCAACAACACTACAACACTAAGCTTTTCAACCCAATAATAGAAATGAATAATAACAAAATACAAACCTATGTTTAGAACCCACAATTAAATTAATCACAAGAAATTTCTCAGGGCATAACAACATCTGCATGTAAACTATCAATTCCTAGTATCAGTCCCACACTAGACACATGTTCGCATTGCGGACCTACTTTTTTTTACCATTGAGTAGCCAAATGTAGTCGCAGGAAATTTTACTCCAAGTTTTTCACTCAAATTTCTGAGCATTTTCGTGCATGATATTTCAGGCTCCATTGAGCCGATCACTCTAATCTGGGTATCATTGCAAAGATCTTTTACTCTTGCAGAACTTGAGTATAGATTATGCCACTTTTGGTCAGTGGTGATGATGCCAGAAGTGGAACAAAGGCCAACGCTCGTCACGACCGGTTACGGCCGGCACAGGCGTCAATGGGTCAATGCGAATTATAATAAAGTTCCCATACAACGCGCACTCTGATTGGCTGAAACAGCCTGCTTTATCAGAGAAGGGATGCACAGGTTGATAATTACGGTAAGCTGGCTTTCAAATTTTTGTTTGGAATTTTGACAAATTTGAGCCAAATTAAACATCCCCTGTGACTCAGACAAACTTAATGGAAAAGAGCTATGTGTCCGCAGTAAATATGGCTATATAGGAGCAGGGAGTAGGGAGTGGTAGAGCTTTCTCTACGCATGTCAGAAACCGTTATTGAACTTAAAGGCATGCACACAGATTAACTGTAACCAGAAAATCCTGGTCAGAGCGTAGGGCGTAGGGACCCCGCTGACCGAAAACGCGTGGATCTTAGGAACGAGATTGACTCACTCGACCAAACTTTGCACGCTCACCTAAGTTTTATGGCCGCCTAAAAGGCCAATGCGAAGACTCCCGTTTGAAATTTAATTTTTCTCTTAATGTTTTCAAAATTCTCTCTGATTTTTGCTGTTAAATATAAAGACCTCTTAAGAGCCCATCACTAGGAGAGTGCAACTGCCCCATATTCCCGTCACGGCCTTTTCACAGACCGATATATTTTCAGTTTGAATTTACCGCGAGTTCAGACCCCCGGAGGAACCTCAGTGACCAATCACAAGCACGGACTTAATTTTTAACTGACGTCATCATTTCACCGGAAGATTAAAATGAAAAACTCCCATTTTTTCTTTCCGATGCGCGTTCACGTAGACCGGAACTGACCTATTTCGCGTGACATAGTATGGGAGTTGCACGCTCTAGGTGATGGACTCGTGGATCTCCGGAATATTTCAAAATCCCCAGCAACAGAACATACTGGAACTGAAGTAGGTCAAAGGAAAAGATCAAGACACAAGTACAATTATATTTTGTACATTTTTAACATTATTTATCGCACTAGTTTAGAAATAGCTCTAACAGGACAGCAAACGTGTTAATGATTGATCTTCACTGTATAACGTTAATTCACCTACCATACTGTTAACCTTTTATATCTTATATTATTAGCCCTCATGTATAATGACATTAGACAAGCAGATTTCATCACCAAACTCTCTAAGAATATGCAAGTTGTAAATTTTATCATGGAAAAATTCCCAAAGGAGCAAAGATGTGAAAACAGCACGAAGGTGCCAGAGGTTTGAGAAAATTTCGCATAAACGAGGCTTGGTGACGAAATTTGAGCATGTGACTAAATCATGCATCAGACCTATTCTGGTTAATCTTGTCGTCATTTGTCATCAGTAGCTAGTTTCGTTTTTGTATCGATATTGTAACTTTGTTTATATAACCTACAATCACAACAGACTTATAGTTACTAGCAGGTAACTCCTATACACTATCTTATATGCAATCCAGAGTTCAAGTAGCCTGTTTTACCAGTTTCCCACTGCACCCAAGCAGTATTCATGATGCCATACTAACCCGGGGCTCAATACACAACAAAAGGAGCTGACATTAACCTACTTGAAGGCTCTGATCGAAAATACGTTGTCGGTACGCATATTGTTTGAACGTCTAGCTGTGCAATATATAATTATTCTCGGGTATAAGGCCAATTAGATTAGAACGTAATATTCTGTGAAAAGGCTGGAGCGGGGGAAGCTTATACCGGAGGTCGGGGCCTGTGTTTCAAACCGGAATGTCTCTACGTTAACATTCATAGTGGGAGGGGTTTTCCGGGTTTTTTTCTTCCTCATTTGAGACATTTTTTGTACTCCACTGTGTGAGCTTGAATTACATTCGTGACTGATTTTATACCATTTTGATATCAGGCGAGTCTGGACAAGTCATGGATCGTATTTTGCGGGACGAGCGAAGATACTCATTACGAGTTCAAATAAGCTGCCGAGGTGTGCCAAAGAGGTACAGCTGAGTATTCAGCCAAATTTGGTGAAAAATAATAATATCCTAATCAGGACAGTGACTTGACATCGCAGGAAAACGTTATGACGTAGACAAGGGTTCTGATTGGCTAACTGTGGTTTTGGGGTAATTTCTAAGTAGGTTGTTTCATTTGTCTATACTGCACTTGTATAACATACTTTCCCTTATTGATTAATATGATTGGCAGTTAAAAATATTCTCTAGTTATGCGTGAATAGGCCCTTTGCAGCTGGGGTCACGTGACCAGATTTTTCCTATAAAATTTCTATATTATGGGCTTTAA